TCTCTCCATAAGCAAACGAGGTGAAATAATTACTTTTCCATTTAAACGCCCCATGTTCAAGCCAGAATGAAAACAAAGTGATTTAATAAAATTGTCTTTAAAAGGGAAAAGAGGAAAATAAACGTCTACTCTGCTCCCCTCCCTGGCGCTCAGGGAGGCCCCAAGCCCTTCAAAGTTAATTAAAACAGGAACTAAAATCACAGAATAGCTTCCCAGCCCTTTCCCCATCTCCGCCTGGAAGGTAAGGCAGCCCCCAGCACTCCTGCTGCAGGCCTGTTCCTGGAGCTTCCCTGTGCTAAGCCTCCACTCCTTCCTGGGACCAACCCTCATTCCTGGCAGGTACCTTGGCATTCTTGCAGCCACACCTGGGGGAGGGAGCTATGCCCCCCACTTCCCGCATCCAGAAGAGTCATTAAAGGCCTTGTCTGGCCATTTGAAGTCCTTGATAGAGGCTGATCCACATCAGAAGCTTCCGGCCTTGCCTCCCCTCAGGACACAGCTGGCTCTCAGTCCCTGCTGACCTCCCCCATGGGTCCCTTGAGCCCCCAGCTGCTCTGAGCTTTATCTGTCTTCACTGACCCCCTGGCCCAGTCCTCAGCCCCAGCTCAGCACAGTTCCGGCTGCTTCCGCCTGGACTGTATCTGCTCCCCATCAGAGGCCCCATTGGAGTCCCAGCCCTTCAGCAGCCCAGATAAAAGAGATGGATGGAGGTGAGTTTGGGGGATGCCCCTCCTCACAAGCCCAGAGCTAGAGCCCTGGGTTCTGACAGGGGCTCCCTGAGGAGGATGGGGGTGGGGGTGAAGACTGCTGAGTTCTTTGGAAGCCCAGTGCCTGCCCATCCCTGTCCTGTCTCAGCCCTTCCCCTCTTCCTAAGGCCCAATTCCTGAGGCCTCCTCCAGGCAGGGAGCAAGATTGCAATCATCCCATTCTCCAACACACACACTTCAGCAGGAAGCTCTGCACTGGGCACCCTGCTCCCAGCCCCATGCAGATCATCTGCCCCCAAATAGTAATACCTAGTGAAACTGACATTTGTTGGGCACTTACTGTGTTCTGTTTCAGACACATTACTTATAAGATCTCTAACGCTTATCACAATCCCTATGGAGCAAGTTTTATTACTGTTTGCAGAGGAAGACATAGAAGAAGGGAGGTTAAGAAACTTGCTCAAGGTGTGCATTTAAAAAGCAGCAGAACTGCAACTCCACCCCATACTGCAAAACATCATGTCCCCTTGCCAACTAACCCTTGACCTCAAAGCCCCCAGTTCTGCTCCTAAAGACCCATCCTTACCTTCAGAGACCACTGTCCCCAGAATTTAACCCCTCTGACACCAAGGAGTTGAGCCCAAGAGAACTGTGGGGCCTTTTCCAGCCCTACTGCAGTTATCTCGGGGTGGGGGCAGGTGTGGGCAGGAAGCAATATTGTCCCAGTGTCCTCAACCCTCATCCTGGGAGACCCCATCACTTCCCTCAGGCGCTCGCTGCTTCTCACAGAGACCTTGTGTTTTCTCCCACAGACTCCAGATCTCATGTCACCAAGAGGATGGAATGACATTTGAATGTGGGGTAACTCTTGTCCCAGAACTGGACTTTCATAACTGTTCACCCTGTCCAGTCACCCAAGTGGCAGAGAAAATGCCAAAAATAAATCCAGGCCAGGAACCAGCCTGTATCTTCAGCCTATCTCCCTCCTCCCTCTTCTGCCCGACTAGTGAGGACACAGCCATAGATCTAAGATCTCAATCTTAGATCTAAGATCCCAAAGAAAAGAGGGACTGGAGGGAGGGACAGTTTTAGGGTGAAGGAATCCAGCAAGTGAGGGCGAGAGGGAGGCGTGAGGTACTACCACTGACCAAGAATTAGGATGGCACCTGAAGACGTCTAGACTTGACTGCATCTGCAAAACATCAGCAAAAGGAGGGCAAGAAGGAAGAAATGACTCAGAAGCACCTTTCCCAGTTCAACCCCAGAAGCCTGTGTGTTGGAGGAGTGGATATTCTGTGACATTTTCTAGGTCCATGCCCCACCCTTGTTTGAAACCCCTGGGCTGAGCTCAAACTGGAAGCTGGTAATGGCAGCTGGGTGGGCAGTGACCCAGGTGGCTGGGACAAGGCTTCATGGGACACTGATGTTGTGAGCCCTGCCCCACCTCACCCACCACTTAGGTGAGTCACCTAAGCCAGGCCAAGCCCTAGAACCTTAGATGTCCTCCTCTGCCCCCAGCACACGTGGGAGCCACTGGAGCAGAGGGAGGGCTAGAGCATGGTAGGGGCCCAGCAGGGGGAAAGGAGGGGTGGGAGTAAAGGAGGATGACTCCCACTGAGCCAGCCTCCAGGCTCCACCCCAGGACTGGTGCATCCCTGTACCAGAGCTTTTCTCTCTGCCCACCCCCACCCCAATTCCATCCCCCCTCTGACCTCAGTAATCCCCTCAGGCCCCTTCTCCATCCCACCACCCCATCCGTCCCCAGGTGTCCTCAACCACCCTCCATTGCGGGCAGCCCACTCCCGGAGCTCCTTGCCTCCCAGACCTGGACCCTCCCAGCCTCTAAGTGCCCCCATAACTGCCCTCAGAGAAGCTATCCCCACCCCAGCCTCCCAGACCACTCACACCCTTCCCCAGCCCACCATCCTTCCGATGTAGGGGCTCTGAGTTGCGCACAGGTGAGACTTGATCTTCGTTACCTTTTCATTACCACAGGCGCACTTACACGGTTGTTCCCTGTGTAGAAAGAATTTAGTCATTCAGAGGGCTGAGGAAATAACCAAAATATACCCTAGGAGGTGATCGGCCCATGTCTCCAGTGTCTTTCCCTCTGCCCTCAGCTGCCTGCATACTCAGAATAGAGTTCTAGGTGACATGCACCTGAGCAGGGAATCTCCAGGGCCACCAGAGCCTAAGCTTGTCTGCCCCTTACATGTACATGTATAGAGTCATATGTACATGTGTTCATAATCCTCTAAATATAAACACATAATTAATATAAGTATACATGCATCCACACATATACATCTTAGACTAGAATGGAAGCTCCATGAGGGCAGCGACAACTTTTTCCCCATGATGTAGTGCCAGCCCCTACAATAGTGCTAGTACATAACAAAATATGTGTAGAAAGAATGACACACAGCGGCACACATACTTGCAAATGAATATGAATACATACACATATAAAAACACATCATATATTCAATGCTCATGTCTACACACGCATATAACCTATGTGTATTTCCACATATATATTAATATATGTGCATTTAGATAGTCCACATACATACATATATTGTGACATACATACATGTATACATACTGTGCATATAACACATAACTACCATGAACATATTAGATATATATATCACATATACACAACACACACACGTGCACGTTCACATACACTAAATGAATACAAACCCAAGCACCTTTTTACTCAGACTTTTCCAGTTAAACTGTCTCAAGGCGCCTGGCCCAGGTCTGATGCCCACTATCAGAAATATCCACCAGATGGCACTCTTTCGCCATTCCCATTTCCTGTACTCCCAAGTGTTGCCAGAGATGTCGCCTTTTTCCGCCAAGGCACAAAATTTGCGGAGCCAGGTGTTCCCCAGGCTCCCCACCACCACCACCAGTGCGGCCAGCGTGTCCTCAGTCCCCAAAGTCTGCGATCGTGGCCCTCTCCGAATCAAGGTCATCCTCTCGGGCCTCCAGGCTTCTTTTGGAGGGACGGTCTCCCCCCTGGGGCTCCAATTCTGCCCAGTCCTCAAATCCACCCGTTACCGGCGAGCCAAGGGCCGGGTTTCTCCCGGACACCCTCTGGTCAGACCGGCACGGCTGAAGGACCCTTGGACCCTGCTTTGGAGTCTTTGTAGTAAGGAGCAGCCAGACGCAGCGGCTCCTTTCTCCAGGACAGCCCAGGGAAGGGGGCAGAGGCAGGGTCATTTGCACACACGGCCCCTTTGGCCTACTCCTCACACCTTGCCCTGATGGAGGAGAGACGGACGCCCAGCTTGGGTCAGCCAAAAGCAGGGAGGAGAATAGCCTGTCCCTGAGACCAGGAACCTTTGGCTTGGGAGGAGCTGGTCCCGATTAACCCTTCCTGCCCCGGTGGGGTCTTGACTGTGGATCTCCGCGTGGGAGCCTAAAAAACTGCGTTCGCTGGATCTTAAACAAACTACTTAAAATCCCAAAGGTGCGGGAAGTAGGATGGACTGAGCCTCCCCCGCCCTCAGGCCTGGCTACTCCGGGTTGGCTCTCCTGGAATCTCACATCTCCGGTATGAGCAACCTAGGACGAAAAACACGGGGAAGGCTTGGAAACCCGAGGGGAGGCGAAGCCGGGAGTCGCGGCAGCGGCTCAGCTTCCCCCTCCTCCTCCCCTCTCTTCCCCCGGGAGCAGCAGGAAATTATTTATTAAAACGCCGCCCGTACTCTCATTTATTTGCGGTGAATAATCCTCGGCATCTCAGCGCGTTTATTAAACCTTTCCCGTCCCCGCGCCCGCATTACTTTAATAATAAATCGCGTGTCACTTTCCAGCGACGTTATTAAAGCCGGTCCGCTGCAGCAGAGGCGGGGCGGGGCGGGTGGGGCGGTGGGGAGCAGGGGTTCCTCCGGTTCCAGACTGTGGGGCTAGAACCAGAAGGGCGGCAGAGGGAGAAACTGAGGCTGCAAGGAGGCTGCTCCCGAACATCCTACAAAGTCTGCAAATGTGTACAGATTCCCCAGGACCCGTGTGACCCCCTCGGGTAGCCTGGGCCTCTTGGCCGGGAGCCTCTGCTCTGCAGGTGGGCGCGGTAGGACCCACGGGCCCGCAGAGGGCGCCTTCGAGCTCAGCTGGGTGAAGAAAAGGCCAGGGGCTGATGCCCAGGCTGACACAGGGCCCCAAACCCACCGCTCTTTTCAGGGCCGAGCGGATTTTCCTCTGGCTCGAAGCCGCACAGCACGGCCCACACCCACACCCACACCACACCGCCACAACCCCACCCACCCCCTTGCTCCTGTTTTGGCGGTCGCCTTGGAATGTGCTCTAAGTATCCAACCCGCTCGCGCTGCTGGGGCCGCCGGCTCCAGCCAGGGTTTGCCAATAAAAACCGTGGTCTGGCTTAGGGGCCCAGCGCAAGGCGACTGTAGACGGTAGTGAGTAGCGGTGGGAGGGGCGGCCAAGCCCTGGGGTTGGGGTTTGGACCACGCCCCTCCCAAGAGGACAGGCCCCTCAATTGGGCCCCAGAGGACAAAGTCAGACGCCGAGCCAAGAGCTGTCCCTGCCGCGGTGGCGCCAGGCTCCGGGCGGAGCCCAGGAGCGTAGGAGGCCGTCGCCATCCGCACACGGCGTCTTGGCTTCACTGACTTAGGTTTTCATTCTTTCCTTCAATCATTCGGCAAACACTGGGTCTCACCAGTGTCCCGGAGCGACGTAAAAAGAATGAGGGGAGAGATTTGGGGAGCCAAAGAATGCGGTTCTGCGAGGGACCCCAAGCCAGATAGGACAGGTCACAATTGGGACAGTCAGGAAACAGGCTTACCATGGCCTTGGGTTCAGTCCGGAAAGAGATTCCTATGGGAGTTGGGGAAGGCCACACTGGTGGCCAAACTTCTCCCCTCCCCTATCCCATTTATGCTTTCATTTTGGGGTCCTACCCACACATACCTGATTCCCCACCGTGCCTAGGGAGGAGACCAGAGTAAGATGAACAGAGGGGCAGGTAACTATCTGTATACCAGCCCCAAAGGAGGGCAGACTGAGAGGACACCCTCCTTCCAGCCAAATGGCTCCACTTTCTCCCCCTAGAGGGCTCATGACTTCCCTCTGTACATTTGGCAAGCACGTGCTTAGAGAGCAGGACCTGCGCTTCTGCAAGCCAGAGTCCTATTAGTGTGGGAGGCCTCCCAGGGATATCTGACCTTCATGTGCACATCTGCATAAAATATCTGTGCATCTGTGTGGCTCCGTTCGTTTATAAATCTTTATTGGTGCTTACTGTGCCTAGTCCTGTGCTAGGCTTTGTCTAATAGAGTGGTATAAGATATGGAGCTGGCCCTGCCCGTCTTACTGCAGGGAACTAAACAGTGCTCCACTCCACTTTCTTGTACAAAAGACGGCAAACAGTAAGACGACTGCAGTTAGTAAGTGCAACTAGGACTTAAAAGAGAGGGAAAACTTGCAGAAGACAGGTTAGCTAATGGTTAGGGACCAGAAAAATAGCAGGAACAGGGCCTTTGGGGAAGGGCAGTTAGAAGAGACTGGTTGAGCAGGGATGGGAGGGGGCTGCCGCAAAGAGGTGGAGGACCCCGGTGACTGTGCTCTTTGTGTCTGCCTCACCCCGCACCCCAGCCTTGGGTGTCGGAAATCTCCCAGCCAGGGCATCTCCTGCAGGGGCACCTTTGCACAGCAGCTCTCCTATTCTCTGCCTCTCTCCCTACCCTCCTTCAGCTTCTCTCTCTCCCCTACCACCCCCTTCCACCCTGGAGGCAAGTAGATCCCCTACCACCATGATCATCCCTACTAAGATCATTAAAGCAATCCATGAAAGGACCCTGCTCCCCCTTTCTAGGTCTTTTCAAAAGCAGGGATTGAGCACCATGCCTGCTCACCCACCCCAATGAGCCCAAGCTCTGGACCTAGTAGTAATCCTCAGTCTCTTCACTTTCAGCCTCCTCCTCGGGAACCAGGTTTAGTGACCGCAGCTGGGGGATGCCTGTAGAGTTCAGCTGATCTGCAAACACACGTGGGCAAATGAGAGAGAACAGGAGAGAGAGACTGTCGGTCCCCACATATCCCGGTCTGTGGGAAGGCTGCACTTATGTGTGCAAATACACGAGTGGACTGTTTCTTACACACATATACAAGGACCCCTAATCCAGCACCATCCTCCCAACCCCCAGAGCTCAGGCCTCCCCCTTACCTGGCGTGAGCACTGTCAGGCTAGCAGGAGCCTCAACCTGACCCAGGGCATTGCGGGCAAGGCAGCGGTAGGTGCCCTCATCACTGGGACGCACAGCCTGGATCTGCAGCCAACCAGTCACCTCAAACCTCTGGGGTCCACCCCTAAACTGAAGCCAGACAAGGAATTAGCATGCTCCTTTTGAGGGGGGCATGGGCAGCCTGACAGAAGCCTCTGCTCCCTGTCCCTACCTGCACAGAGATGTGGGGGTCATCTCCTGGCAGCTGGATGTCCAAGCCATCCTTCCTCCACTCGATGGAGGCCATGGGGTAGGCAAACACCTCACAGCCAAAGATCACGTCCTGCCCTGTCACATTCCAAATGTCGTATGGCTGTGACACAATCTGGGGCTCTGGGGGTAGAGGTGGAAGGCCTGAGAACAGGATGGCACATCTATCCCAGCAAAGACACAATATATGAATTGCTGTGGACATGCTTGTGGCAGAACACAATATATGCTGAGGTCAACACACATCCCTAAACACAACATGACACACACGTACATATAAATGTGGATGCTGGCACACACAAAGGTGTGAACACAGATATGAAGATGTACATGCACATGTGTGTACACAGAGTGCCATACAGACATGATGCACAAACACACAGGCACACAAACCCACACCTTAGCTTGGCAGCCACACTGTCCCTGACTGCTCCCTTGTCCTCATTCCACCCTCCCCGTCCCTTCTCTGCCTTGCTTATAACCAACACCTCCCCCTTTCCCCATTTTCTAACCAGGCCAAGCTCCCCCAAACCTGAAGAGCAGCCCTTCCCCCTCCACCACCCTGGGAAGGTCCCTCTGGCAAAGGCAGAGAACCTGAAGCCAGACTCCGGCAGCAGGCCAGCAGGCAGGAAGCCCAGAGGACTAAGGGAAACTGTTGGGACCCCCCCACCAGGTGTTTAAACAAAGTCCAGCCAGGCCGGACTAGAGCAGGGGCTCAGGAAGTGAAAGTTACTAAAGCCGCCAAAGAAAACTCCAGACTTGAATGGCCCTGAGCCCTCAAGGATAGAGCAAGGAAGCGCTAGAAGAGCTCCCACCTTCACTAATCCCTAAATGCAGGAGAAAGGAGAGAGGTGAGGAGACTGAGTTAATCCATTGCTTTAAGAATCTGCCCAAGCACAACCTGACTGCATCTCACAGGAACCCTGGTCTGGTTGCCTGGGATCCAGCGGTCTGAGTAAAGTGTGGGGTCTCTTCATTCTCTCAATTTTGAGCAACCATAGACTATGTGCCTGCACCCTCGGAGGGTTTGTCTTCGCCAGCCGTTCTGGAGCTTTCCCGGCTCAGCGCACGCAACTTGCCAACAAAGCTTGGGACCCCCACCTTCGGGCAGCGGCCTCTAAGGACCAGTAGAGAAAGCAGAATCTTGTACTGGACTCGAGGCCTCCCCCTCATTTTTTCCACTCCCCTGGCAGAGGCCAATGCTGCTGGGGGTCGGGGAGCAGTGCCTAGTGGAAGCCCAAGTGCTGGGGGTAGGGGAGCTGGGCCGTGCGTACCCGATTCGCAGGGCCCCGGGTGCGCTACAGTGAGGTTGGCATCTGGCCGAGCGCGGGCGGCCTCCTGCAGGCGGCAAATCTGGGCGTAGGTGCGGCCGTCGGACCCGCAGAGCGGGTGCTGCGAGCGGCAGGCACACAGCGGCTCCGGCACCTCTCCGCGGCTCAGGTCGCCGCCTGCGTCCAACCGGCATTCAAGCTGCTCGCCGCAGCGCCCGTAGAAGTGAGCACTGGGGTCCAGGTCGCAGAGCTGGCCCTCGAGATTGGCGCATTCCCAGCAGCAGCCGCACGCATCGCGCACCCAGCCCGCCAGGCAGCCGTGCGGCGCGGCGCACTCTTCTGGCTGGCAGGGAGCGCAGCCCTCGCCCTCCGCAAGCAGCCGCAGCCAGCCACGCCGCAGGTAATCCGGGCCTGGGGATGGCCTTGCGCCGGTCGGGGGCGGCGTCCGCACCGCCAGCAATAGCAGTAGCAGAGGCAGCGCCAAGGCAGTTACCAGAGACTGCGGCATGGTTAGCTGGAAGCCCTGTGAGCACTCGGGGCATCAGCACGTTCGTGGCACCCTGCCAGGGACGGAAGCCAGGTCAGGAGGTCAGAAACAATGCCTATGCTGAAAGTCCAACCTCACTGCACCTGTATCACAGCTTGATCCTAGCACTGGCCCCTCCTGCTACCTTGGAAGTAAGACACCCAGCCCCAACAGAGGCCCAGTGACCTTATAGGAGTTATCCAGTTATGCCAGTTGGAAATTAATTGGGCTGGTTTTTTTGGGGGGGTGGGGGGCTGAGGAGTGAGGAGATGCCATAGGAAGGGGTGATAAAGCTTAGGCGAGCACGCGCACGCGCACACACACACCAGCAGTATCACGACCATACACCACCTAACTCCAATGCTCATTGCCCTACACAGGGATGGGAATGGACTGCTCCAGAAGTAAGAAGTTGTTGATGGGGGGGATGGGAAGTCTGTGTGTGTGATGGGGGGAAGGGTGATGTCCCTCGGGTGTGGTCTGGGGCCCAGGGCGCTCACCTAGTGTCCAGGACTGGGCCCTTGGGAGCAGTCGTGATTCCAGTCCGAAAAAGGTGATGGAAAGAAAGCAGAGGTGCAGTAGGCTGGGCCCGCCAGCCACCTCTGCTCCCGCCTGAGGATTTCTGAGGGCCTACAGATTTGGATTCAGAGAGCAGCTCCTCCGCCCCCTCTCCCCGCCCCTCGACGTCGCACACCCGCCTTCCCCCTAGTCCTGAGGCTGAGAAGCTGCCAATTTCGTGCAGCCTCACGGGACCTTCCCGGACCATTCCCCCCTAGCCTGGCCCAAAGTCACAATGAGAGCAGAGGAGCCGTAACCAGACACCGAAGCTGGGAGAGAAGGGGGGTGTGAGGACTGGAGACGGGGAGTGGGGGTAGGGAAGTGGCTGAGAAGTGCTGGCTGAACGGCTAGGCCCTGTCCCATCTGACTTTACAGTCCCTGGGGTAGTCTCGAGCAGATGCATAACGGGGAAGTGGTAAGGGCTCTGGTGCCAAGTCATTTTACGTCGATGTCTGGGCACTCCTGGAGGGCAGGGCCAACCAACGTCGCCTCCACGCAGCCCAGGGTCGGCTTCCTGGGAGCAATTGCAGGTTTGCCCACCCAGCTTCGCCACCGGGGCGCGGACCGGAGACGGCGCTAACATCTGCCCTCCTCCTCCCTGCCCACATCCGGCAGGTGCTTCAACCCGATGATGAGCCGAGTGATTAGAGGAAGGCGACGAGCGGCCGCAGGAGAGGCGGGCGGGGCTCAGGTCGGGATTACAGGTTATGGTTGCGAAGCTGGCAGGGCTGTAGGCATTCTGTCTCTCGGCCGCCACCAGCGCCACCGTGGCACTCAGGGCTGGGGGAAGGGAGAAGAGACTTCTTGGAGGCCCGCCCGCCAAACACGGGCCGGCCAGGCCCCGCCCCGGACCGTCCCAACCGGTTTACAGAAGCCGCGCCGCAGTCAAGCTGGTAGGGGGCGGAAACAGCCAAATGCAGCCAGGGAGGAGGCGGCATTTAGTCAGGCCGGGCCCGGGCGGCCGCCCCAGCAGGGCCCACCAGGATGGCCTCCGCATGCGCACTGGAGCCCCAGAGAGCCAAGCTCGGGAGGCGGCCGGGGACTCTGCCTTCGAGGAGCGCACCAGAGCTCGGCCAAGACCTTTCACATAGGGGCTCCCGAGCCACGCAGATGCTATCCTTGGCCAGTGGGATTCTGACGAGATGGGCGAGGACAGGCTGCCACCCGATCTCAAACTCAAAGGAGGCACGGGAAGCGAGCTTCACGCGAGGTCTAGCAACTGTCGCGAGAATCAGAACAGGAAATCTAGGAATTCAGAACAGGGAAAGCCCGCGGGTTTTAAACCGGAAAAAGAGTGGGCGGAGCCAGCTGTGGCCCGCAGTTGTGAGTTATCCTTTGCCCTTGTCCTTTAGGGCAACGGTAGTGTCGACGTAGTGCAGAAGTGAACTGTCAGAGAACTTCAGGAAGCCCTGAAACAGGCCGGAGAGGGGGACTTGCGGAGCTGACAAATGGAACCACCCGTGGCGGCGTGGTGGTTCCTGGCCCCGACAAAACACCAGGTGGGCGGAGATTGTTGCCTGGATACAGAGCGGAAGCAGTCCGGGATCTCTCAATGAATTGCTACGGGCTTCTAAGCCCTGGAGCCGATTTTTCAACCGCAATCTCCGCGGTCTTAGAAACTCTTACCCTATTTTATAATAGCGGGTTGTTTGCTTTCAGTCTTTGCTCTACTCTAAGCCTCTGGTAGTAGAAATCGTGCTTAGCACACCATAGTATCTTGTAAACCTAGCCACACACCTAGCGGCACAGTATATTCTCGGCAAATTTTTGTGGATTGGCCGGGGCGCGGTGGCTCACGCCTGTAATCCTAGCTCTCTGGGAGGCTGAGGCGGGCGGATTGCTCGAGGTCGGGAGTTCGAAACCAGCCTGAGCAAGAGCGAGACCTCGTCTCTACTATAAATAGAAAGAAACTAATTGGCCAACTAATATATATAGAAAAAATTAGCCGGGCATTGTGGCACATGCCTGTAGTCCCAGCTACTCGGGAGGCTGAGACAGAAGGATCGCTTGAGCCCAGGAGTTTGAGGTTGCTGTGAGCTAGGCTGACGCCACGGCACTCACTCTAGCCTAGGCAACAAAGCAAGACTCTGTCTCAAAAAAAAAAAAAATTTTTTTGTGGATTATATGTGAAAAACTTTGAGTGTTTAACCTAGATTTTTCAGCGGATGGAGTCTAGATAGACAGGGAATGAGCGCCCTCTGGTGGGGTTGTGGTTGGTGACGAGACTATAATCATGCATACAAAAGATTCCTAAGATGTTGACCATACGGGGGATCCGCTTTTATTAAGTAGAGGTTTTGTTCTAGGAAAACACCACATATTGTAAGAATACTTTTAGAAGGGAGTTGTTTGAGTAAGACACAACTTGATAGTCTGGATATGTTTCCAAATCGTTATCATCCAATACTTTATCCATTAAGGCTTCAAAACACATTTAGTAACAGCTATAGGAATCACAAATGGTAAAGAAATAGCAAAAGATTTTCCACATTCATACTTTGGAAATGTTGATCAGTTTGATGGGATTCATAGAAAACTGTTGGACCAAAGGAAAAAGATTCTCTTGATGTTGTGAGCACTGTAAGGAGAGAAGCCAGGTGGCATGGTCCTTTGCATTTACACGAGAAAGACTAGATTCAGACAGAGAAGGTGAAGTTAATGTTTGTTGAAGAACAGATGATCCTGCCTCTTTCCCCCTTTTTCCTGCAGCTTGTACTGAAGAAGGAATGTAGTATACAGTGCTTGTACTGAAGAAGGAATGGAGTATACAGTGTAGTCGTTTGCTTTCCACTGTGAATCATAGCCTGGTGTTCACAGATTAGGAGACTTTCACTTTCTTTCAGCCACTGACACGTAAAATAACTGTGATATAATGATAGGATGAAAAAGGCCCTATACAAATGAACAACAGGTGAAACAAGGCATAAAAAGTCAGTGTGTAACTTGGTAAGAAATTACTTGGGAGGATCCCATATTTTATGTTTATTTTATTTTGAGACAGAGTCTCACTCGCTTGCCTAGGCTAGAGTGCCGTGGTGTCAGCCTAGTTCACAGCAACTTCAAACTCCTGGGCTCAAGGGATCCTCCTGCCTCAGCTCCCTGATAGCTGGGACTACAGGTATGTGCCACCATGCCCGGCTAATTTTTTCTATTTTGTTTAGTTGTTTGGCTAATTTCTTTCTATTTATAGTAGAGACAGGGTCTTGCTCTTGCTCAGGCTGATCTCGAACTCCTGAGCTCAAGCATTCCTCCCACCTCAGCCTCCCAGAGTGCTGGGATTACAGGCATGAGCCACCTTGCCCAGCCCCATATTTTAACCTGGTACTTCATAAACCCTGTTTTGACACAGCTGGTGAAAATAGTGGGGCTGTAACTTTGAGGAAGAAGCAGACATGAAGCAAATGGTCCATATTGACCTATCAGAGATGGATACAGAGGAATTGTGCTTCTTGTAAATATTAGAATCAAATCAGTTAGGTCAAAAAAAGGCTGTCTCAAAAATAAATAAATAAATAAAGGAAAGTGAACCTCATTCCCCTTTTAAAAAAAAAGGAAATTTTATTTTTTATTGTATGTGTAGGCTTTTGTGACCATGCAGTGAGTACATGGGTCTTCTATAAGCTAAAGCTGATGCCAAGGGAAAAGTTAGTAGACTCTATGATACTAAACACAATGTCATTTAATATATGAGTTGCTTTTTCTTTGAGACAAGGTCTCAGCTCTGTCACTTGGACTAGAGTGCAGTGGCATCATCATAGCTCACTGCAACCTCTAACTCCTGGGCTCAAGTGATCCTCCTGCCTCAGTCTCCCAAGTAGCTGGTACTATAGGCATGTGCCACCATGCCTGGCTATTTTCTTTTTAGAGACAAGGTCTCACTATGTTGCCTAGGTTGGTCTCAAGCTTCCAAAATACTGGGATTACAGGCGTGACCCCAGCGCACCCTTACATTCACTTTTTACTTGAAGACAGTTTTCTGTAGGTGAGGCTAGAGAGATACCTTTCTGCTGACACTTATGCATTGCTTCTTCTTTCCTTCCAGCAGATTCCCAAATTTCTATCTCTGGCCCAGAGACACCTCTTACCCAAACATCATTCCAGTATATCCAAACCAATTAATCTACTGCTAATATTTTCTTCAAAGCAGCCAGGGAGGAAGGCCATAAACAGCTTCAGCCAGCATCACATTTACAGCTCCCAGAAAAAGCATCGACATATCAAATCTCAGATATCTTTTATTGAACAGGAATTCATCACATGGCCAAAGAGTTGCCCCCCTGGACCATGAACCTCCCAATAGCAAACGTAGTTAGTGTCCACCCATTTACCCTCACTCACACCAGAGGTTACCTGCAGACAAGATCTCCAGGGCCTCTCTGCCTGAAAGAGTTCTCTGGCTCCTGGAGTGAGCTTGGCTGGCATGCAGAGCAGGCTAGAAATGCCACATAGGTAACAATTCAGCAGTAAGCCACATCCAATGAGGGACAAAGCTGGAGGACAAACACCCCTGTTCCTTTCCTTTCAGGGGATAATTTTGAGGTATATTCTATACAGTTTTGCAGAAGGTCTCTAGTGGGATTTAGTCCCAGTTGCCTTCAGTGGTAACCCATTCATTAATGCATCTTTTATTTGGTTTTTCTCTTTTCCTTCTCCCTCATGGTGTTTTCTGGGATAAACTCCCAAGTAAACCACTCATACCCAAATCCTTGCCTCAGGATCTGCTTTCTGAGGAATCAAAACTAAGACCACCCCTGTAAAGGGATCAGGCAGTCTTCCTGAGAGCTCCAGCAAGAGACCACGTGGACTAGGAAGAGCTCTTGGACCCCAAAACCACACTGCTTGTTCACACTACACTTTCAACCTTTGCTCTTGAGAGATAACAGAGTCTAGTGTTGGCATCTGTGGAGAGTTTGGAAATAGGTTAACATTCAAGAATCCCCTGAGCTGACCACTGAAACCAAGGAAGAGCCTGCTAAATGTGTTCTCAGAACTCCAAGCAAGAAATAGTGGGTGCTTTCTCAAGGGATGATGGGAAATAAAGAGGACTAATTCATCAACCAGGAACTACTTGGCTTTTAGACAACCAAACCACATGGAGAATCTTGGGTCCCAGGAGAGCATCAGAATGGGATTGGTAGAATGCTGCACATGTTCAGAAGTTCATAACTTAAATTTCAATGTGCTCAGCCTCCCCAAACCCTAGGTTCCTTCATGCCTTTTCTATAATTTTCCCCAAGGGTAAGGTACAGGAAGAAAGGTAGCAATTGGGAGAACTGCCCCACAAACCTCTTGGCTCTGTGCCCTGACTGGGGAGATGCAAGTAAGGAATTTTTTAGTAGAATCACACAGAAGTTGATGAGTTTAAGAGGTGTGTAGAAATATGGAGCTTTAAGTTAGGGGTCGAGATCTCCTGGGTCCTGGAACTTGACTTGCTGTCACACTCTCTTCTACAATATTTAAAAAGAATTTGGGGCCGGGCGCGGTGGCTCACGCCTGTAATCCTAGCTCTTGGGAGGCCGAGGCGGGCGGATTGCTCAAGGTCAGGAGTTCGAAACCAGCCTGAGCAAGAGCGAGACCCCGTCTCTACTATAAATAGAAAGAAATTAATTGGCCAACTGATATATATATAAAAAATTAGCCGGGCATGGTGGCGCATGCCTGTAGTTCCAGCTACTCGGGAGGCTGAGGCAGAAGGATCACTCGACCCCAGGAGTTTGAGGTTGCTGTGAGCGAGGCTGACGCCACAGCACTCACTCTAGCCTAGCACTTTGGGAGGCCCAGGTGGGCGGGTCCTTTGAGCTCAGGAGTTCAAGACCAGCCTGAGCAAGAGTGAGACCCCATCTCTACTATAAACAGAAAGAAATTAATCGGCCAACTAAAAATATATAGAAAAAATTAGCCAGGCATGGTGGTACATGCCTGCAGTCCCAGCTACTCAAGAGGCTGAGGCAGGAGGATCGCTTGAGCCCAGGAGTTTGAGGTTGCTGTGAGCTAGGCTGATGCCACGGCACTCTAGCCCAGGCAACAGAGTGAGACTCTGTCTCAAAAAAAAAAAAAAAAAAAAAGAATTTGGATGTACCACAAGGGACAAGGCTGCTGTGATGCAGGTCTTGTGTTTCTAGAGCTGCCAAATGGTAACACTGGCCCAGCCACCGGGCACTATCTGCAAAGGGGGCAGCATCTGCAGTGGGTAGCAGCTTAAGCAGCCCTGCCATCTAGGAAAGGCCTCCTAGAAGTTTTTATTTTGACTTAGAATTCAGGCTTCCAGTCTTAGCTTTGCCAGCAGCTGAGAGCCATCTGAACCTGTTTCTTCTGAGAAACGAGGGTGAATTCAGACTTTCAGACATGTTATATTTAGAACCATGTTTTAATTTTTTACTTAATAACTAATATGTTTTAATTTATTTTTTTTTTTTTAGAGATAGGGTCTTGCTCTGTCACCCAGGCTGGAGTGCAGTGGCTAGATCACCTCACTGCAGCCTCGAACTTCTGGGCTTAAGTGATCCTCCAGCCTTAGCCTCCTGAGTAGCTGGGAGTACAGGCATGTGCCACCACTCCTGGCTAATTTATTTTTGTAGAGACAGTGTCTCACTATGTTGCCCAGGCTGGTCTTGAACTTCTGGCCTAAAGCAAGTCTCCTGCCTCGGCTTCCCAAAGTGCTGGAATTATAGGTGTGAGACACCATACCTGGCCATAATTGCTATTATTTATTTATTTGTTTGTTTATTTACTTAGAGACAGTGTCTCACTCTGTTGCCTGGGCTAGAGTGCCATGGCATCAGCCTAG